CTTTCACTTTCTCTTTCCTCTTCCTCTCCTTTGCCTTCTGCAAATCCTAATTTCATTTAGTTATTGATTATACAAAATCAGAGCCATATTTCGTTCAAATCGATAACCCAAGAACAAGGATCAAATATAGATAGCATATATGAAATCAAAAGAAGAAAAAATGGGTTTCTAATTGATTTTATGGACAATAGATCAGACTTCAAACACAGTCAAGATTAAACCCACAAGAGATTCTTACACTGGAATCCTGAAAATCGAAGAATATGGGTCTTCTTTGCTCGATTCAATGCGTTTAAATTCAATAAATTTAAGGAGAGATCTAACCAAGAATTACCTGTTTGTTTTTGGTGGAGATTGAGTGTCATAGCCATTGCAAATCAAGCTCGAAATTGTAATTCCTGTGACGTTTAGTTGAATTGAGGGCTCTGTTTTCTCTCCTCTTCCATTCCTTCACCTTCTTCAAATCCTAACCCCTTAACCTCAATTGCCCCCAATTATCCATCTCTCTCTCTCTCTCTTGCTAACTCAAAATTTACTCCCATCAAACTTGGATTGCGCCAACAAACTAGTTTAGGAAACAAGTTAATGGAACCCAAATCTGGGCGTGCGAATAGGAGTAAGAAACCCAAAATTGGGAATGCGGATTGCTGCACAAGGTATTGGAGCAAAGATCGAAGTCTTCGTTTTTCTTGCAGATATCATCTATCATGGCCTCAATGGCTACATTGCGGCCGAGGAAGACGACGGAGGAGGTGCAGAAAAACGATGTCTTCTACTAGATATAGGTAGCAAGGGACGCAGAAGAGGAAGAATCTACTGGAAGGAGTTGGGCTAGGTGAAGAGACAAGCTAGTTTGGAGAATCTAAAATGGTGAGCGAAACAGAAGGAGAGGAAGAATCTAGATTTGGGTTCCATTTTGTTATAGTTCAATTGAAGGAATTCTAGGTTGCGGTGGGTTGATTAGAGGGCAACGGGGGACCAAACAATCTAATCGAAGATGATGCGAGTGGAAGAAAGGTGGCAAATTTGTAATGTTAATATGATTGAATAAATAAAATTAATTGTTTAGTTTTATGTTATATTTATTGTCCATGTCATTATTTTTACTGCTTAAAATTTTCACATTATCAATTCTATTTCCCACATATGAAACAAAGATGGGTGTGAACTGTTATTTAACGTGGCACCGTTATTAAAAAAAAAAAAAAAAAAGAGGACTAAAAAAGAGTTAAAAAATTAAATCTTAAGGATAAAATGTGAAATTTTTTTAATTTAATAGTTAACTAAAAATTTTATAAAATAATTGAAGAATTAAATTAAGGGTTAACTAACTCTTATTTTTAGTTATTGCTAGTAGAATTATTGAGCATATGTGATGAATATTTAAAATGAATTACTATTGTTATTAATTAATTATAATGATAATTTTAAATTTTCACAAAATTTTGTCGCTAAAACCCTTTTCTTCTAATAACTTATTTCATCTACAACTCTCTACATAAAATTCAACTCAAAATAGATATATAATTGAGTTGTGCAAATGATGGCTTTCTTGCAATGTGTTTAAACCTGAACTAGAGTTGTTTTGACTTTCAGTTCACAATTTGAACTATTTAACTAATTTAATTAAAAATTATCAGATTGATCAAAATATTATAAATCTATTATTATGTAAAAAATTTCACATAGTACCAACTGATTGCAACGGTAAATAATTGATTTATTATAAAGGAGATCACAAGTATATATTTAAATAGATTTAACGAATTAACTGATGAAAAAACTAAAAAAATTTTTTTTATAATTGAAAGACAAAAAAAGTACATGAAAGGATTAAAGTTCTAAAATTGACATTTTAACCAAATGAAATCATTTGTTCATGTCTTCTTTTTCCATAAAATTAATCGTTCATCTCTTCTTTCTTCCCTGGATAAGCAAACTGAGAGTAGTATCCAAAGAAAATGGGGGAAGAAAGTGATGGAAATAGGAGGAAAACAAAAAAAAGAGGTTTATGAGATTAGGGGAGAAAACACAGGGACAAAGAGAATGGTAGAGGCGGGGACTGTCAGGAAGAAGAGAGATAAAAGGCTTTTTTAGGGTTTCCAAAAAAAAATGGAGACTATTTATGTCTAAAGCCAAATTAAAGTTAAAATGATAAGAAAATAAAAATTAAAAAACGAAAAAGTAAAAATGGGCCGAACGGTAGGTGCAGCAGTAAACTGGAGGCTCAAACGGTAAATCAAATATTGGGCCTCCATACCAATGCCGAATGACAGCCCAAAATGGTAATGCCAAATTACATTAGGAGCTACCGATTGACTTTTCCGTACCATTGCTGCGATCACCGGTACGATTTTTGCATACTAAATCCAATATTATTTGTGACAGATGAAAAATAAAAGTTACCCGTAACTTTTGTCCTGGAATCCATAGGTTGCCATAACATCCAGCATGGTAATATATACATGTTATTGATTATAATTCAAATACTAGTTTTCATACAGCAACACACAACACAACTATAAATAAAATACAATGCAGTACTAAATAAATTAATAGGAGATTTTCAAATTAAACAGGAAATCAAAATAAAAAGAACACTCTGGAATTAAATTTTTTAGATGAATCAAATATTTTATTGTGATGAGGAGTACAAGTGGTACTCAACTCTTAGTCTTCAGGAGACATTACAAAAGATAACTTATGAGGGCATTCAAAAATCGAAGCTAAATGTTTGACAACAAATCTAGTTTGAAGTGGCTGGAATTAAATTTGACAGACAATTTTATGAAGTGGCTGAGATGATCTCCAACTCGTGAACGAGTTCCTTCTGAAAGAAGAAGGATAGAAGAGGCCAAGGAGGGCCTTGCAATGCTGTCTCTACCCGTCTAGTCATCTCTTCTTTCGTAAGATCCAACGGTTACACTTCCGAATCTGTTGACTCATCCTGACGTCTCCTGTCTTGTGCCATACGCTTCGGTTGTGCTAAAAAATAGCTGGAATCACTGGATGAGAAGTTAATCCCAAGTAATTGATCAACAACCAAACCAAGGTGAGAAGTTGTCCGCCTCTGCTTACTTGTCGTGCGTGGACAATGGGTTGGCAATGAATAGCAGCATAGCATAATATTTCTATCCAAAATCTGCTCATTAAGTTCCACGGACAACCACCGGGCTGATATTGGAGAAGCTCCTTGGCAAGAAAACCTGCAATGGTTATCCTCGGAAAGCCAGCTATTCTATCCTTTTCCTTGGGTTCTAACTTGTCCACATCTTTCTTCCACAGACCTAGATTTCTATAAACAATTTCAGCTTCGTCTTCCAATAGCTTATCCAGTAGACCTTTAATGAATGTTTCTTTGGATCCCTTCTTCCAATAACCTGGCCACTCCCATGGTCCATCTTTGGCCTCAAAAACAATCTTCAGATTGTTAGGCGAGGTGGCTGTCATGGTGGTAGGCTCCATTACCAAAAGGTAAAACATATAATCTGAAATCAACTTGCATATTTTTCGGTGATCAAAACGATCATTAGATGTTGATGTAGAACTGCTGGAGCTGTTTTCTGGACATACTTTTCGGTAGCATATTTCAGTGGCTATGTGCCATATCAGAAGGCTGTCCATGTGCTCAAACCTGTCGAGGGTCCAAGCGAAGTTGGTAATATGACCGGTGAGAATTCTAGACGGACCAAAGATTTCCTTGCCAGCCTCGCCAATATCCTTTTCTCGTAGCGTTGTGAAAATGAGCTTCCAAGCTTGTTCCTCTACAAAATCTTCTTGGGAGACACACTGGATTCCTCTTCTTATGGTTTCAAACAAACTGCTTGCGCCAAGAAAATCAACCAATTTATTTGGATAATCTCCATCTTTATTCTTGAAATGACAATCAAAAATATTTAATTGCGGATCTAAATTCGACCACCTGCGCCTTTTAATGAATTCATCATAATTCTCTCTGCCATGGTACTGCCTAATAAAAATCCAATCAGAGAACATAAGTAACCATATGGATATCAAATCCAATGCCAATGCCCCGATCAGCAACCCATATGTCAGGCAGATGTCAAACTCCCCCAACTTATTATGGTAGTACTTCCTAAGTAATATTGAGAATGACACTAAGGCTCCCAAGATGCAACCAAAGTTAACCGTACGGCAAATATAACCAATCTTGGAATCAACTACGGGCAACTTGGTATGAAGGAGCTCATACAAGAGGCTTAACTGGATCTCTATGGTTCGAAGCATCTTATGTGAATCTGTTTCTCGCATAAAAGTAGAAAACCACTTTTGTTCCTTTTTAGTCATGGGAGGACCTACAAGTAAGCTCTTGATAGCGCCAACCATGTAAGCTGGCACAAGAATTATCGCAGACGGCCGTTTAGTCGATTCCCAACCCTGTGACTTAAGAACTTGTTCAAATTGTACTGGAATGGGAGGCAGACGTGATATATATGACCAATTACTCCCAATATGGTCAAAGCTTGCGAGATAAAAGGCACCGTTGCGCTCAGCATATTTGATTACCCCTGCAATTAGAATTAGGAGAGTTGGCAGCCAAAGTTTGTTATGCGTGAGTGACTGAAGGATAACATGCATAGTCGAACTAACTTGTAATATGAGCCCAAGCAAGTGCCTAATCCAGAGTTCATTGTCCTCCAGAGAGAAGGAAGTAATGGTGTCAGGGCCACCAAGATGCAACAAAAGAAAGGGTGCCCAAAAGGCTACGATGTCACTGCGTTCAGCACGCAACATGAGTCCAATAGTGAATGTAGCCACCAAATCTGCAAGTAGGTATGCTATCCAGAGTGGAATCTTGATGAACCATTTCCCACCTCTTCGCTTTCTTAATTGTGCAGACAGAATCAGGAAAGACTGCACCAAGAGACTTAGAATAATTAGGACTCTGATATTCCAAGTATCCCATAGCTTCTCGGCGTGTTCAGCAATGAGCAGTGGCATCATCTTTAATCTGCTTTGTTTTGTTTTGCCAGAGGTAGTCAAACTTTAACCAACACACTTAGGGATGCACAATGAGTCTAGTTCAACAACAACGTCCTGAGTTGGACATCCTACATTAAGAGATAACAGACTTCGGTTTCAATTTTTTGAGACTGGAAAATTTATATGTTAAGAAAAAAAAATTTTTAAATTCTAATGTATTTTATTATTATTAACTATTGCAGTAAAGTAGTTGATTGATTTTGGTACAGCTACAACCCTGTACTACAATTTACAATTTTATGTTTAATTATTAATTTGTCGGCTTCTGGTCCCTTTGATGTCTCCCTTCTCCCCTGTTTTTTCGTTTTTCTGTTATACTACTCGGACCGTTCGGTTCGGTTCGCATTGTAACTTTTTTGACAGTTCCATGTCTCTAATAAGTAAATTTCTTAAAATAATTAATTTTAGTCAATATTTTTGTATTTTAATAATTTATTATACTTTCTCTCTTTTATATTACTAATTTATTTGTTATTATTCTTTCTCTTATTATCATCTTATTCCTATTATTCCTTTTTAGTTATATCTTTACATTTTTATCTATCAAAATATATTTCTTTTTTTTACACCAATTTTTACCTTTGCTACTTTTCCACTTACATATACTTAAGCTTTTATTAATTTTTTTGAAACTCTTTCTTTTAG